ATTTATTATTATTTGTTATTATTATTATTTTTATTATTATTATTATTTATTATTATTATAAATTATTATTATTATTTATTATTATTTATTATTATTTATTATTGTTATTTATTATTTATTATTATTTATTATTATTATTTGTTATTATTCTTATTATTTATTATTATTATTATTATTTCCTTGGATTTTGTTGTATATTCATTTCTTTCCTAGTGCCAACCAGAGACCCAAGGTAAGGAAAGACTACAAAAACAGAATGTTCTTTCTTATTAACATTGTTACCCTGTTAATTGTTTTGTATCTTTGAAGATCTTTGAAGTATCTTAGGGGGTAAATCTAAAAAATTTGGTACCTGATGAAATCAATAATTTCAGTTGTAGTTGGAGCCCACGAATGGATTGGAAAAGGTTCCGATAGATTCAATAAAGGGATTCCTGGCAGCCAATGCCATAAAGAATTACCAAAAATTGTACTCACAGATACAGTTGACACATTACGAAGAATTTTATCTATGTAAATTGAAAAATTTTTGGCTCTTGAGGAAAGGTAAAAATTTTTTTTTGATCAGTGGAAGATATTATTGTCACTAGGCGTTCCTGACCAAGGATTCTGGTCGGAAGAAAAAAGAAATATGTATACAACAGAAATCAAATAAAAATAATAATAATAATGATAATAAAAATATTCTCTTGAAAAAGGAAAATACATTAAAAAAAACTTTTCAAATCCTCCTCTTTTATGCACAATTCCAAAAGAAAAACTTACAAATCCACTAAACTAAGTACGACCAATAAAAACTGCAAGAAATAGGCACATTGTATTACATATAAACTCCGTAATTAATTAAATAAAAATAGGTTAAATAATGTCAATATAAAAGAATAATATATAATATTTATCAACAACACTTAGAAAACAGTTACATATGTAATCAATATAAAACAAAGAATTAAAACATCGGAAGTGGAAGTCTGCTACATAGAATGTAGAAAAGGTTACCCAAAATACATTGGCGAAACATTGTTCTTATTCTTCTATGTACCGTGTTTCTTCATACGTCTCCACAATGCCCTGTCCTTTGTTGCTCTTAGTAAATAGTTCTGTCATCCATTTACACAAGCTCATTAAGTTGGTTATGGGCATTTTCTATGTACCTCACGCCTTCAATAGATCTTGCGAGTATCAAAATTTCCAAGCCCTCTTTCCTCTATGTACCCTAGAAATTTCATCTCTCTCTTTCAGATGTTAAATATGTGTTCTTTTTGTTTTCATTTCCTCTAAAACTTGCTAGGTAGGTTATGCCTTGTTTTTCTGTCCATCTTTGCCTTCAATCTGTCCTGTGAGTATCAAATTTTCGAAGCCCTCTTTCCTCATTATGTGCCCTAGAAATTTCAACGGTCTCTTCCTGATGTTAGGTATAAGTGTCCTTTTTGTTTCCATTTTCTCTAAAACTTGCTAGGTAGGTTATGCATTGTTTTCTTCTATCCCTCTTTGCCTTCAATCTGTCCTGTGAGTATCAAATTCTCCAAGCCCTCTTTCCTGATTTTGTGCCCTAGATATTTCAACTCTTTCTTCCTGATGTTAAGTATAAGTGTCCTTTTTGTTTCCATTTTCTCTAAAACTTGCTAGGTAGGTTATGCATTGTTTTCCTCTATCCTCTTTGCCTTCAATCTGTCCTGTGAGTATCAAATTCTCCAAATAACATCTTTCCTGATTTTGTGCCCTAGAGATTTCAAATGTCTCTTCCTGGTGTTAAGTATAAGTGCCCTTTTTGTTTGCATTTTCTCTAAAACTTGCTAGGTAGGTTATGCGTTGTTTTCCTCTATCCCTCTTTGCCTTCAATCTGTCCTGTGAGTATCAAATTTTCCAAGCCCTCTTTCCTGATTTTGTGCCCTAGAGATTTCAAATGTCTCTTCCTGATGTTAAGTATAAGTGCCCTTTTTGTTTCCACTTTCTCTAAATCTCCAACGTTGCTCACATCTTCAGTCCATTCTCAGTATCCTTCTGAAGAAACACATGTCTGTTGTTTCACGTCTCTTCTTCTTTATCTTTGGGAAGGTCGGCCATTATTCACTGCCATATAGGATGACTGATATTGCATAACAGTTCCATACTTTTCTTTGTTTCTAACCAAATGTTCCTCTTTTTTAATACTTTGCTTAGCTTTTGGATGGTATCATTCGCTATAGCAATACACCTTCGAATTTCGGGGAGGTAGTATTCGTCCTCTGTTAAAACACTTCGCAGATATTTAAATGTTTTTATTTGCTTGATTTTGGATTCACCAATTTGTAATTTGCATGTTGGCCTGTCCCTTTTGTTGGCAATCATGCATTTTCTCTTCTTGCAATTGCTGTTTAGTTCTTTCCTTTTGTTAGAAGTTCTTGCAACTTCCTTTTTTGTGTCTGTTATCAACACTGAGTCACCTACCTACCTTGTGTTGGCAAGATTGTGACCGCCAATAATAGAATTTCTAATTCCTTCAGAATCACCTGAAGAAAACAATATTTCTATCTATAAAAGGCAGGATGTGTGTGTGTGTGTGTGTGTGTGTGTGTGTGTGTAACGAATGCACAGCCGCAACTTTCGACCGACTTGCACCAAAATTTACATGCACATGCTCCAAGTTAGTGGGAAAGCCAAGACCGACTTTGCATTTCCCAACTCCCATCGATAGTGGAAATAATCGATTTTTTCATGCTTCTACAGCATTTTTTTCATGTAGTTTGTGGCCATTTTCTACTGGCCCAGTGAGAGTCAATAGCTGGCTGCCACGAATAGGCAGGAAGATTCTATTGGCCAGCGTGAGAGCCAACAGCTGACTGACACGAATGTTAACTAGCATGCTAGCAAAAAAAAAAATCGATAGCTGCATTCGTCACAAGTGGGAAAAATTTAAATCTGCATGGCACTTTACTCCAATTGGCTCATTCGCTTGCTTAAACTCAACGTTGATTCTGATTCCTCAGAACTGGGTTGGGTGTGAAAAAAAAGTATTTGTTGTTAACATCTTTTTTCATTCGGTTTTTCCAGTTACGAGTCCTTTTTTAAAAGTTTTGTGTTCATTTTGTTTAGTTCTTTTTTCGTAACAGATTTAATGTTTACCATAGAGCTTAGAAAAAATTCGCACTGTGAGATAGGCAAGAAGTAAAGCATGTAGAAACATCAGCACAGCAAAGGGCACTCCTTTAAAGGCAAGGAAGGGCAAAAGTATTTTAAGTCAAGTGATAGCGATTGCTGTATGAGTCGTACGATTTTTGAATCAAGCACGGGCAACGCCGGGCCATGCTGCTAGTATGAATATAAAATTACAGAACACACTCAGATTTCTTACGCTCTAGTGTAATCTTTGTGCTCGTAATTTTACCTTGGACAATTCCGTTTAGACAAAAGTGTTTTTAAATTGCCATGGTTTCTAAGAACCTTACGATTAATCACTATAATAGGGCTGTTTCAATATATCTCATGTTCCTACTAAATTAGTATGAAGCAATGCTGGCTAAATAAACCAGGTAAAACTGAGTTGAAATTAGTTAAAATGTATTTTCTGTAGAGATAGAAATGAAGTAAAATATCAAACAGCCAGCGGCTCAAGGAGAATCCCGTTTTGTGTTAGGAATGTCGATATTGTACTTGTGAAAAAAAAATACTTTTTTGATGTGGGGAGCGGATTACGTAAGTTCATCAGTAAAACATATCAAACTGGTCATTTTCAAATCGGTTTTATATATTTCCCATTCTGTTGTCCAAATTGATCCTCCCATACACACTCACAAAAACAAACACAAACACCTATCTATCTATCTATCTATCTATCTTCCTGTCTGTATATTTATCCAAATTAGGGGTTATCAACCAATGGGAAATTACAGGATTTCAGTGGGGTGGGATGGGGGTCACAGATTCGTAGACTCAAAATGTTAACTTTCAACCTTCCCAAGGTGGCACAACACGCAATATGCATCGGTCCGCGCATATGAGAGGTCACGCTGGGTTTACTTTAGATAGATAGATAGATAGATAGATAGATAGATAGATAGATAGATAGATATGAACAGACTGAGATAGATTTATAAATAGATAGAGAGATAGAAACAGACATATTGATCTATGTATGACGATAGATAGATGGATAGATAGATAGATGGATAGATAGATAGATAGATAGATAGATAGATATGAACAGACTGAGATAGATTTATAAATAGATAGACAGATAGAAACAGACATACTGATCTATGTATGAAGATAGATAGATAGATAGATAGATAGATATGAACAGACTGAGATAGATCTATAGATAGATAGATAGATAGACAGATATGAACAGACTGAGATAGATCTATAAATAGATAGAGAGATAGAAACAGACATATTGATCTATGTATGACGATAGATAGATAGATAGATAGATAGATAGATAGATAGATAAAAACAGACAGGTAGGTATGTAGTTTGGCGAATATAGGTGGTTAGGTAGGTTGGTAGAAAAGAAAGAAAGAAAGAAGGGATGAAAGTGTAATAAAATAGAAGACCAAATCTAAGTTTCGGTAAGACGCACTTAATTGTCAATAATAATCACGATTTATTTTATCTTTTGTCAAATTAGAGTTCCCAGGTTTTTGTTTTTCAACTTCGTTTATTTTTTGTCTTTTCATTTACTTCCAAAATATGTCGAGTCTGACATTTTTGAAGATATGGTTCCAATGATTAATTGCCATTCATTGGTCCTTTTTTTTCTCTCTCCCAAGACTATCTTCATTGCGATATATTCTGGCTATTATTTTTATAATTTGACGCATACAAATCATTCTTCATACGAACACATCGCTCATCACCATCTCCAGCTTCTACAAAACCTTAAATTTCAGATATAGATCTATTTTTTCGATTTTTATAATACGAGAAGGTATTCATAAATTTGACAGAATCAAAAAGCTTTTGATCGGCAGCGAAAATGAAATAAATTGTTCTTTTTCTGACACACTGACATGTATATAATGGTCGTAAAATATGAGATTACCACCAGAGTTCATATAAAGTTGCTGGTTACAAAAAAGTAAACAATCAAAAGTAATCTATCCATCTATCTATCTATCTCGCCTCCTCTCTCTCTCTCTCTCTCTCTCTCTATATATATATATATATATATATATATATATATATATATATATAGTCACATATATATACCGATCAATCTATCTTAGTCTGTTCAAATCTATCTATCTATCTATCTATCTATCTATCTATCTATCTATCTATCTATCTATCTATCAGACTGTTCTGGTAATATCTATCTATGCCATTATTTTTCTACTTCATCTTAATTGATATCAATATTTTTCCTGATATCAATTCATTCCATTCACTCTGTTGAGATCTATCTATCTATCTATCTATCTATCTATCTATCTATCTATCTATCTATCTATCTATCTATCTATCTCATTCTGTTCAGATCTATCTATCTCATTCTGTTCAGATCTATCTATCTATCTATCTCATTCTGTTGAGATCTATCTCATTCTGTTCAGATCTATCTATCTATCCATCTATCTATCTATCTATCTATCTATCTATCTATCTATCAGAATGTTCTGCTAATATCCATATACCATTCTCTATATTTCTACTTCATCTTTATTGATATCAATATATAGTTCCCTGATATCAATATATTCCTTTCAGTCTGTTGTGATCTATCTATCTATCTATCTGATTCACTGACAATGTATATATTGGCATAATGGCCATGAAGTATAAGTAGCTGTATGTAACGAAAGAAATCAAAATCGTGAAAAATGTCAGAAATATAAATTTAAATAAAATTTATAGATAGAAATCATAAATTGTAGGAAACTTTATTTTCTACAATACAAATGGTTTCAAACTATGAAGTCTTCTGCATTGTGTTCCGTGCACAAGGAACGCTTTATTTACGGGGACCTTTTTGAACCCCTTTCTGCCGTCTAAAGAATAATCTGGAAAAAGCAACCGACATTTGAATCTTACCATATCCGTCTTGTAAAGCGAAACGGTTCATTTCGCCTTCACATCGATCACGATGTCACCATTATCAGGTTCCATTCTTTTTTCTTACTTCTGAACAAATATTCGGCTGACAAGTTTAAGTATAACCAGACGAAAAATAGAAAAAAAAAATGAAGACGCTAATTTTCACAGACGAAAAATCCTTTTGCGATATATCGATCTTCAAACATATTTTTAAAAAAAATCAATGTTTTCATATAACTTCTAGTGAGCGTGCAAAACTTCTAAGTTGTCTCTCTTTTTTTTAAAGAAAAAGACAAAAAAATCCCCTAGTAACTGAAACGTCTTCCTTTCTGTGATCTCTTTTTTCAGGACATTGTCGATCACGGTTCTCCACAGCTTCTTATCCTTTGTAGTTCTTAGTAATGTTTTCACCTTACTGTCACCCTCCCTGTTATGCCAGACATTCACACAAACTTCTACTTTTATTTCTATGTTTTTTTTATTTCCCCATATCCGTCATCCCTTCAATATATCCTGCGTGTGTCAAATTTTCCGAGCGCTCTTTCCTCACCATATGTATCTTCCGGGTGTTATTTTCCATTGGCTTTCATAAAATGTACCAGTTAAATTTACTTACTTTATTGATAGTAACATCTCCAATTCATTGCATATATCTTGCTAACGACGGTACATTTTATCGCTTTCACAATCGTGTTAACAATGTTATTCGTTGTTTCCCTTCTTCGTCTTTATCCTGTCAACATTTTACACAATTGTTATACCATAATACCTATTCTATTGTAATAGACTCTCCCACAGATAATAATTAGTAGTAGCAGTGGCCAGTTGGGCTCAGTGGTGTTGAGCGAGTCAGTCGATGTCGGACATTGAAGTATCAACCATCACAACTAAATTGCTGCGTCATTAACTCTTATTTCAAGTTCCTAACGTTTTGTACGTCGAACCTAATTTAGGACGACTTATTAAAATACAAGCCTCCACTGTGAAAACTACTCTACAACAACAATCATGTTAAGTAGGTTATTCACTGTATCTCTCTTATCTTCTGATATATCATCTGAGTGTCAAATTCTCCAAACCTACATTTCTCTTTATGTGTTCCAAAAATTAACTTATGTCTTTCAAAGAACAAATCCCATTGATATTAGTATTGATTAAGAATAGATATCCTTTTTTTCTATTGATTTTCCAAGCGTAGCTTAGATGTGGCACGAGGCCGAAATTAGGGGCACTCAGTGAGGATCGAACTCACTACTCAGTCGTAATTGTTCTAACGAGACAAAGTTGCTAAACATTACACCACCTCGAGGTGCTTTTTTTTCTTTCTTATATGCCGTTTTTCTTCAGCACGTAAGCGATGAAAAAATGTCAACAACTTCTTAAACCTTTAGGCAACGTCTGTTCTATTTCCACCCCTCCTAGCCTCTGTTTTTCAATCGTATAAAATAGGTTAGCCGGTGTTTCTCTCTTCTCTTCCCAGATTTTGTCCTGTCACCTGCTCATGTTAAATAGGTTAGCCGGTGTTTCTCTCTTCTCTTCTCAGATTTTGTCCCGTCACGCTCATGTTAAATAGGTTAGCCGGTGTTTCTCTCTTCCCAGATTTTGTCCTGCCACCCGCTCATGTTAAATAGGTTAGCCGGTGTTTCTCTCTTCTCTTGCCAGATTTTGTCCTGCCACCCGCTCTTGTTAAATAGGTTAGCCGGTGTTTCTCTCTTCTCTTCCCAGATTTTGTCCTGTCACCCGCTCTTGTTAAATAGGTTAGCCGGTGTTTCTCTCTTCTCTTCCCAGATTTTGTCCTGTCACCTGCTCATATTAAATAGCTTAGCCGGTGTTTCTCTCTTCACTTCTCAGATTTTGTCTCGTCACCCGCTCATGTTAAATAGGTTAGCCGGTGTTTCTCTCTTCTCTTCCCAGATTTTGTCCTGTCACCCGCTCATGTTAAATAGGTTAGCCGGTGTTTCTCTCTGCTCTTCCCAGACTTTGTTCCGCCACCCACAATCGTGTTTAGTAGGTTACACCCTGTATCTCTCTGAGCTTCCTATTTTCAGTATATACTGTGGGTATCAATTTCTTCAAACTTGTATTCCTCTTTTTGTGTCAAAAAATTTCAACTATCATTTTCTGATTCAAACGACAAATCCTATTGATTGTAAAATCAAATAGGAATAGCTATTTTTCTTTCTCATTTTATATGTCGTTTCTCTTCAATACGTAAGCGATGATGAATATCAACAACTTTTTATCAATTGAACCTTTAAGCAACATCTGTTCCATTTCCACCCTTCCTAACCTCTGTTTTTCATCTTTATCCCGCAGAAGTACTCAAGAAGGCCACTTACTGTTGCTATCTTGTCCTCTTATCTTCATTATTACGCATGTTGAATGTTGAATTCTTCAAAACCGCTTTTCTTATTATGCGTCCCGGAAATTTCAACTCTCATTTTCCGATCCTAATTACAAGGGTCACTTTTCCGTCCACGGTAATCCTAGTTTCCTTTTACAGAACCACATCTCTGCTACCTGAATTCCACTGTTCATCTGTGAAGAAATTGCTCTGCGTTCAATGCCAATCTAGGAAGACTGATATTACATAATATCAACTTCATATCAATCGAACCTTTAGGCAACGTCTGTTCCATTTTAATCACTCCTCTCCTCTGTTTTATCATCTTTTTTTTTTTTTTGCACAAGTTCTTTGGTAGGCAAATCACTTCTTCTATCTGATCCTCTCACTTTCATTATTATGCCTTTTGAGTGTTGAATTCTCCAGAACCGCTTTCCTCATTATGTGTCCAATAAATGTCAACTCTCTCTTCCCCAACCTAATTAGAAAGGTCACTTTTGTTTCCATTTTCCTTAAAACTTTCTCACATTTTCGGTCCGTGGTATTCTCAGTATCCTTCTGTAGAACAACATCACTGTTAACTCAAGTTCTCTGTTCATCTGTGTAGAAAGTGCTCTGAGTTCAATTCCAATATATGAAGATTGATAACAGTTCAAAATACTTGAAATAAAATCAACTAAGTAGATACAATTTGTTTAATTTTTTGATCAAAAATAGATATAAATATGTATGCGTTCTTTCTTTATAAATTAATCATTTTTAAGGTGCATATAAGGTAATGTCTGCAGAAAACTGCTATTTCATTTCTTTGATTTAATAAAAACATTTTTCAGAAACTTAATAATGTTTAGCTTTTCATGTAGGCATAAAGGACATGGGTCATCCAAAGTACTCCTGTTTCTTTTTCTATTTTTGATCAAAAAATAATAATAATAAAAATTATAGAAAATAATTAAATCCTAAAATATAAAAAATTCACAATACCATATATAGTCTATTAGCAAATTAAATGAATTGTAGACGTGTATAAAATTATAAAATCAAAAATATAACTACCATATCTAAATACTCTTTCAAGAAACTACCAATGTAGTCATATAGAGAAGTCGATAAGCAAATAAATAAGCACCAAAAATGATTGTAACGTTGACTTCAATGAGAAGAAATAAAACCAGGTAGTAAAAACATGAAAGCCTGATAAAAAAAAGCCAGTGCAGCCAGACAAGAATCCCCTACCTAACCTTAAACGACCCCCAAAACTTGACATACAATAAACATTCTTACTTTCTTCATTCGTAAAAGCCGAAACACCTTGATAAAAAAAAATAGGAACTCTCATAACACCATCAATGCTAAATTATAAATAGAGTAAACCGATTTCTCCCTAAGTTATTCTTAGCATCGTCTTAGAATGAAACCGTGCTCTAAATTTTAACTTTAATTTTGAAATTAAACTTTAGGACCTGAATTTCGGTTTTGAAACATAGTAATTTCTGTGTCGCGATGGAGACATATTTAAAAAAATATAATATATATATATATATATATATATATATATATATATATATGTGTGTGTGTGTGTGTGTGTGTAAATATATAGAAAAATAGGAAAGAACCGTTAGGTTAATAATCCAAAGTTCTTTAGTATTTTTGTTTTTATTAAAAAAAAAACAGTGCCGATACACAAGTAGAGCATATATTATAATTATTTCTTAAAAATATGATTCCATCGCTACATAAGAGTTCTCATGTTTCAAAAACAGAAGCTAAAAACTTCAATTCAATTATAGAAAATAAATTAAATTAAAGTGCGTAGTTCTGTTTCATCCTCAAGCGGATTTTGGAATATCTAATTTAGAAATTTACGGAGCTTTATAAGCATATACATTCGTAATATTAATTTCTATGGATATGGAGAAAACAGATCATTTTCATAAGGGGCGGTAGGGTATTCATTTTTACTGATAATTATTGTATCAAAATATTAGTTACTTTAGAAAAGAGGTTAAGTCAAGGTAGGATCGAGGTGCCGTTTTCAAACAAATGATGACATCCATACAACGCATATCGTCTGGTCGATTTCAACAACAGAAAGATTTTGGCACTTTTGTTACATCGTTAAATGTGTATTTGTATATATAAAGATTTTATCTTTAAAAGGGTTCTTTGTATATGAATACAATTTGTTTTTTGTTGACGACATCTTAAATATTCAGGTTGGTAAATACTGTTTAAGTAAAAACAGAGCATTTACTCAAATAATTTGCATCCATAAAATAATATATATATATATATATATATATATATATATATATATATATATATATATATATATATACTGTATTCATGCTATATGTGATATAAAATGGGATGACAGGGTCAAGAATAGTGCAATAATGAAAGAAATATAACATCACAGGCACTGAACCCACCAGCAAAAATACAACTTATGTGGGCTGATCACGTGAAAATGGATGAGCATAGGTTTCAAAAAAAAGGTGCTATATGGACAACTACCAAACTCCAAGCGTTCAGTTGGACGCCCACTCTTATGCTATGCTACAAAGACAGATTGAAAGACAACATGAAACGTCTCAACTTTGATCTGAAAACGTGGGAACCCCAAACACCAAGCCGAAAGGAATGGCGTAAGACATGTTTCATTAAGTTAAAGGATTTTGAAGACAGTAAACTGAATAACCGTGATTAGCATCGTCAAACTCTGAAGCAGAGACAACCATGAAAATCCTGCTTTAACACATTTCATCTGTCAATAAGGCTGAGCTCGTATCACACTTAAGAAATCACAAATAAAATATGTCTTTCCCTTAACTGATTTTCTCCACAATAGCTCCTGCTGGTATGCATAAGTGTAAAACGAAAGGCCACATCCAATGCTGGTCCACATTTATCGTTCACGATAGGAGAGTTCACCATATATATACACACTACACACACATTGAGTGAAGCATATGCAAGTCTGTTTGAGGTAGCAATGGCGCAACAAAAATTGATCTGTACTGCACCAGTCACCATATTCACCTGATCTGCTATCAAATAGTTATTGAGTTTTTTGACCGTTGCAATATTCTTTGTTACGAAAATTAATGAAAAATAATGAAAACTTGACTCAAGTGTTCATCGTAAACATTTATACGTCAAAACCCGCGAAGTTTTATTCAAAATATGCCGAATAGCTTCCTGATAAGGGACCACAACTCGTTGCAGATAATGATTAAATAAAATGTAATTGTACTTTATTTTTTGGAGTATAAACAAAACCAGAAATTATTTATGACGCAATCTAAAATAATCTTTAACATTTGGCACGTCAGTGTACGTGCATCGTTTCCAACAGTATGTTTAAAATTTTATCACGGGCGTTTAATTATCGAAATTTATTAATACACCTTTCTCTCAAACTCATAAACTTGCGTGCATGGTGATCGATTATCCTTTAAACAATAACGAGTGAAATCCTATTTAATTAAAAAGATCGGTTTATATTAATAACAGATTTCGGGGAATCAATTATGTTTATACTGCGAGCGAGGGGGAAGTTCAACACGCGAGCTCGATGGAGACTGGTACACGAGTGGGTTATCTTAAACGTAATCAGAGGCAGATGCGAAAGATATTATATTTCTAGTTTGAGACTTCTACTGAGGTTTAAATGTTTCCGGAGGCCGAAAGTTGATAATGTTAAGCGGAAGTTTCTAGAATGATTTTGGAAAAGAAAAAAAAAATTAAAAATTAAAAGTAGTATTCAAATGTAAAATTTAAGATGAGACCAGTCCTATGGGGATGGTGAACGAATCACATACCGGTGTAAATCTTTTTGAGGCACAAAAGAAACTATTTCAACAGACTTTGAGTTTTGCCCTCCGTTACTCTACTTGCATCTCACTCAACCATATCGGCACACACACACTTTCTCTTTCTCTCTCTTTCTTTCTCTCTCTCTTTATATATATATATATATATAGAGAGAGAGAGAGCTATATAAATTTTTGTACATCTGTTTTATCTAACTATATACCTATCTATTTCAGTCTCCTTTTATATCTATCTATCTATCTATCTATCGTGATTTTCTAAGCGTAGCTTAGATGTGACACAAGCCCGAAAATATGAGGCACCCAGTGAGGATCGAACTCACTACTCAGTCGTAATTGTTCTAGTGAGACAAGCTTGCTAACCACTACACCGCCTCAGAGTGCCCAGTCTCTCTCTCACTCTCTCTCTCTCTCTCTCTCTCTCTCTATATATATATATATATATATATATATATATATATATATATTGGGGGGCACCTCGAGGGGTGTAATGGTTAGCAAGCTTGGCCTGCTAGAACAATTACGAGTGAGTTCCATCCTCACTAGGTGCCCCCTAATTTCGGCGTTGCGCCACATCTAAGCTACGCTTGAAAATCACTATATATATATATATATATATATATATATATATATATGTGTGTGTGTGTATAAAAGTTATTGTCTATCTAGTTTCTATTCATCTCATTCTATTCATATATACATCAAACTGTTCATTATCTCTCTCTCTATATATATATATATATATATATATATATATATATATATATATATATATATATTTGTGTGTGTATCTCTGTCATAATACATTTCCTAAATTTCCGTACTTGATATATTTTTTAGAATTCAGTCAAGAGATAAAATAAAGAATAAATATATATATTTTTTTTAATTTCAATTTTTTAATATTTCCCAATTTAAAAATGAATTTCATCCCCGAAGTGCAATATTGCTTTTTCGGGATAATAATCATCCAATCATTTTGGAGAACGACTTTAGATCAGTTGCTGTTCAAAAGTTGATGAGAAACGCATATTCTAAGAGAGGCAATATGCCAGGATTTTATTATGCAAGTCAATGATTTCCCAATAAAATTGTTATTAACCAAACGTGGTCCGGAGATAGACTTACATATATGCCGTATGAATTTCAACCTATAATGTCTATTTTATTAGGAACTATTTACGGTAATCTATATGGTGTTGTTATATATTTCATACAACTCCTGTGCGGTTCGTTATATTGTAAATAAATACGTGTAAGAAGAGTATAGTTATTGATATTCATTCTCTCATTTACGTTTTTTTTTTTTTTTTAACTTTTCCCCCCAAGCTAGGCGGGAGTGCCACTGGCACGCAAGGGTTTACTGAGCGTGGGAGCAAGAGTAAAGAGGCGTGAAAAAGGAAAGGATGAAAAGGATGTGAAATGCATCAAGGTATCTGGAGATGTCGATTGACATTGCATTTTAATAGGCAATAAAGCCACTAAGATGCTAGTGGTTACACACACAGAGCCTTTTTTCACCATTGATCTGAGGAATTGGTTATATACAGCGGAGAGTTTAGATATTTATGATGGGGTCTGGCACCATGCATGATATCCATCTGAAAATCTTGATCTGATGAGGCTTTAAATGTCTTGAGTTTTCAGTTTGATGATTTGGTTTCATAGCAATTTGTAGTGTGGGATGAAGCTACCTCTGACCCAGTCTATTCTAGGTTCAATTTGCCACTCTCCCATATTCAATTTGTTATCGTTGATCCATATGGCGACGTATCTGAAGTGTTTAGTAATTACTAATTCCACACCCTGAATTTTTATGATGGCTTCAGGGTAGCTGCTTTTATTTCGATTCCAGGTCATGGTTTCTCTTTTGGAACAGTTTATCTTAAATCCTAATACTTGGATTGTTTGATAGAGAATGTTTATTTTCTGTTCATAGTCATTATTATCCCAAGTATGAAAACCAATGTCATCAGCATAGCACCATTATCATCAGAACATTGGCCTCGGGAGGGAAAGCAGGATAATTTTCTTCTATTGGTACACAAAGTTGGGGTGCAGTATGGAATTATTAAATGGTCAGCGTCCACTCTGATGAATAAAAAAAATAAAAGAAATGACAAAAAAGAGATTGTCTGAGATTTTGTAGTCCCAGTCCAAAATGTTCAAAGAAGGATTACATTATCCAAGTCCCTCAGGCGTTATTCCCACAAAGCCTTTTTTCACCATTTATCTTAGGAATTGGCAAGATACAGCAGACAGTTTAGATATTTATGATGGGGTCTGGCACCATGCATTATATTCATCTGAAAGTTTTGATCTGATGTGGCTATTTAAGAACATGACTTGATTTTTTTAGGTTGATGTTTTGGTTTCATAGCAATTTACTGTGATGTGCAAAACTACCAGACGATTCTATGTTCGATTCTTTTTTCTTCTGAGAGTCTTGAAAAAACCCAAGAGAAAGACCTACCGAATGAATTAGACGAAATCTTACATATCCATAAGTCTACAATTCGTCCAGGCTTCTTGCTGCCATATATGGTTCGGTGACCAGGTTGTTTACCTTGAGATCCTTGATAAAATCCAAAGAAGTATCAGCAATATTATTTGTATTGATCTGGCGGGTCGGCTTCAGTCACTCACCGCCGTAAGGTTGCCGTTTTTTTGGGGTTTTTTTAATAAATACTTTCATGGTTATTGTTTGGATGAAGCGTAGTATTAGACTGACGTCGAGGTCACATCAATTTATAGTTGAGCTAGCAAGCTGTAGCCGTAAGTTCTATGCTAACAGTTTCTTCTCTCGCACTTCTCACTTGTGAAACTCCCTTCCATCCCCATGCTTTCCAGCCAACTTTAATCTGCAAAAATTTAATTGCAACGTCAATCGCTATCTACTGTCCTCTTGATTACTCTTTTCTCTTTTTGTTCATTATTAATGTTTCTGTTCCTAATTCTTCCACGCCTTGTAACCCTTTTTCATCTTAGCGGCTTTACTGCCTTCTTTGGAGTGATACTGATTTATTTCAAGACAATACACGCCCACAGAATTCAGGGCCCACCTTTTCTTCTCCATGATAATACGCATCCTCAGAATTCACGGCCCACCTTTCAAATGTTGCACAGCCTTGGCCATGAGATCTTAGAGATTGCTTCTTATTCACCACAAATAATTCTCAAGAGATTATCAATTATTTAGACTCTTTCATCTTTCCGTACGCAACAGAAGATTTTGTTCTAGTGAAGTATTTGATTTTTTTAATGCATAAGATGAAGGTTTCCTTTACAAATTGAATAAACAGTTAATCGTTACGTTGGAAAAAAACCGTAGAATAAAAAAAAACGGATATTATTTTGATTAAAGTAAAAATACATTTTGATTAAATTATTTTTTTTATTCATAAGAATACTATGAGACAATTACTATGAGACAATCTACACACAAGTCACAAGTCATCGTGACCGAGAGTTTGAGTGTACTAGCCTTGTTGATCCCGCTAGATAACACGCTCTTTCCAAGAAACTATAAGGTAGCTCAGCATAGTTGTAATATAAACAACAGATGGGCTCAGTGGATGTTGAATAGATACAAATGTGCCTGAGCAGGCGTCTGCATTTGGGATTAGCTAACCACCCTAGTAGATTAGCATCCTCAGATTCAAGAGGCTGCGTCACTTACATGAGACAATCTAATACCATGAAAGGAAGAATTAGGAAAACTCAGCAAACGCCGGACTCAATATCGTGGTCAGCAAGTTATTCTTGATTACCATTTTCCAATGTTAAGGCACCTTGGCAAGATGGTGCACCCTCATACGGAAGAATTACCAGAATAAACACTTAGTTTATTTTGGAGACAAATAAAAGAAGAAAGTAGTTTGGCGTAACTGACCAAATGAATACATTCGTTGAACAGAATGTGAAAACAGCAAACTGGCACTGCAACTAATATAACTGTATGCATGGATATAATGAAAAAAAGAAAAAAATAATGAAAAAAGAAAAAAATAATGAAAAAAGAAAAAAAAGGACCTACCTAGACTAGTGAATAGAGGTGTGGCCCAGTTCTTTTCCATGATAATGCGTACCCTCAGAATTTATCGCCCACCGTTCAAAAGTTGCACTGCCTTGACTATGGGATTTTAGAGAATGCATCCTATTCACCACCGATCATTTCCTCAGATTATCAATTATTTAGACATTTCAACTTTCTGTACGCAATAGAAGATTCTGTTGTAGTGAAAAAGTCGAAGCATTTGAATAGTTTTTTTTTTTTATTTATTTATTTAAGGCCTAACACGAAGGTTCCTTTTTACAAATGGCATGAATAGCTAACCTTTATGTTAGGTGAAAGTCGTAAAAAACTAACGGATATTATTTTAAGTAAAAGAGCATTTTGATTAAAAGAAAGCTTCTTTTTTCTTCCATCTCATTATTTAAATGTAATATCACTTGTTACCGTCTGTCTTCTTCACCCCTGTTCATTTTTCTCTCTCTTTCTCCCCTTAATAAGGTTTTTCTTTTCCTCATATTTTTTTCAGAATCAGTAACCTCTTGCATCATAGTCACTTTATTATGTTGCTTGGGGGTGAAATGATTATAAAAATAAATTTTAATAGCTCTTAAATAAAAAGCTATAATTATTCCCGATTTTGTCATATTTTTTAGATCTAAGTTAAACATTTATGGAGTCGTTTCTATTAGTCGCCTTACTGTAGAGTTTTGTAATGTACTTATACAACTTCTTCATAATCCTCTCTAGCGGATTTCACTCTTTTCTTCTTTCCTTCGCTTATTAATGATTGTAGGTTGACGTTGATCATTATTTGGAATCATTCGCTGTCGATGTTCGATTTCCGTATTTGGAGGAAGAGGCCGAGTGGTACATTAGTATTGTTCTATTATTATTTCTTTTGATCCGCTCTTTGGTACAATCATTTACGAAATCTATCAGATGAGACTGAGAGGAAATAAAGGTTTCTTTGGAAATTATGGAGCCCAGTGAATTGAAAGAAAGAGTTGGTATTTTTTTATTAATTATGCGAGCAGTGCTTATCACCTTATTATTATTATTATTATTATTATTATTATTATTATTATTATTATTATTAAAAACCAAAATGATTGATGCAATTATTCCAATATTTTGCGACACTAAGAGTTTAAAGAAAAGAAAAAGAAAAGAAAAAAATAGTTTGTCTACTTCAGGTTACGTTTAAAAATTGTTTACAGTTAGAAAACTGTAAAACGTTATTCAAGCTA